GATGGCAATTTATTGATCTCATCAAGCGCACTTTTAACAGACATTGTGGTATTGAGATAGAGCTGATGCAGTTTGTATGAGAAAGTGGGTGGGGTGCGCATCACGCAAAGGTGCGCATCACGCGCACAGACACTGTATGCGGCTCCCAGCTAGCTCCAACCCCACAGACGCGCCCACCACATGACCAAGAAGGTACTCAGCTGCACCTGCAGCAGAGAGATTACCGCAGAACCTCGGACTCTCCAGAACTACAACCGAAATAATGATCAAAGCCTCAAAGATGCTCCCAAAACTCCTACTCACTCTATCGACCCTCGCCACCGCCTACGTTCTCCCCTCAGACGACTTACTGAGCGACAAATGCACATTCACACTCTGGCACCGCCAACAATCCTCAGTCAACTACATCCAACTGAACACAATCCTGGACCACGCAAGGAACATATCAATCGACGTCGCATCTTCGCGACCAGTTACGGCGTTCAATAGTTACACGCGCCTTGATCACGACCATGCCTTCGCGGTGGCGGGATTGTTGGACGATGAGAGGTTGACGGTCACGCATGCTGGGGATGATGTATTGAGGTTTGAAGTCGGAGAGGTGAAGTGGAGCACGCGACGGGCGTATGGGAAGCAGGGTGAAGAAGGGAGGTTTGTGAGGGCTTGGTGTGATGCTTGGGAGTGGGAAGGTAGTCCTAGGAGAAGGGTATGTTATGCGTTTTGATCCTGATGAGACAGTTCACTGACCTTGAGTAGGAGCGAAAGCTAGGCTGCGCATTTCCTTGCGAGAAGGTAGCTGATGAGGATCTTGGGAAAGAAGAGTATGAAGGTGTACGCGAAGGGGATAGTCAGGCCAGGGTCGGTTTGCAGTGATCCATTTCAATCCGCTCCGTGTCGAGCTCTGAGATCCATCACTGCTACTCGTCACGACTTGCCCTTTTGTTCGACACCGCCAGATGCGCTGTAGCAATCTTGCATTAACCGCCCTTTTTAGATTGTGCGGCGCCTCCGTGCTTACCACAGCAGCCCCATTTGAACCCCCAGGGCCATATCTGCTGAGCACTCTCGAAGCAGGTCTGGACAGCCACTCCGTCCTGTTCTACAATGCCATGCTCAGGTTTGAGGAGCTCTTTCAGCTTGTCCAATTGCCCGTCCGCTTTCTAGATTGCCGCGCGAGGATCATACACTAGTCTACATGACCAATCTGACGAGCATGGATCCGCTGATCGCTCCAAGGAACATAGGAAACGCGGGCGTGGACCTACCGTCATGCCATCGGCAAAGACGAAGCTCCTGGTAGTGGAGATCAAACTCTGCGCCGCAGCCAGGCCTTTCGCATAGAACAAGCCCTTCGTCTTTACGCTCATCTCGCAATGTCGCACCACACTGCTTATCAAACGCGTCTTTCATGACTTCACTCTCTCCAAAACTGTAGAGTGTGACGAGCAGCATGCTTTGTAATCGCTGAAGGGTTGCTGCATTCACATTATTCTTGACAGATGGAATAGTGTTTGAAGCACTGCGTAGTTGGGACCACGATAGCAGGAAATATATCGTAAGAAATCTGAGCCGTGTGGGCGGCTGGAGCTGTTAGCGTGGCTGCCTGAGCTCAAGTGGATGGCGGGCGCTTAAGGCTGGCCATGTTGAAAGTTCCTCCAGTGCATCTGGAGTGGGTGTATTTGGTAGCTGGATGCAGAAGTGCGAGTGTTGCCTCGACCTGTCGTCTGGAAGGGAGACTGTATCTTTGTCCACGATGAAAGACGCGTCGCGAAGGGTCAGGACGCCTGCATTGTTAGCGGACCCCTCTATAGTAACACAGCCGCAGAACGCTCAGTTCTGGAGAATATAGTTTGTCGTTGTGAAGAGCAAATGAAAATATTCCTGCAGCATTAGTCTGCCCACATCGACTGTTCTCGCCGAAAAGCGGGTGCCTGAGCGCTTCGATGTAGACGAGCGCAGGTTGCCAGATATACAGCGTTCAATTCCAAGACTCTCTATACCGTGCCCTACTGTACAGCGCGCTTTTCGTGTACCAAAACCATATTATGCTGAAAGAATCTCGCTCGACTGCAGTGACTTCGTTCGCCTACGGCCTGACGACGCGGAGACCATCCTTGGCAGGCGAAGCTGTGCGCTTGAAAGACTGCAGAGCTGTTAGCAGCTGCGAGAAGGCTTGTGATAGTGAAGACTGACGTTATCGCACTCCTCCCATGCACGTCCAGCACCGAAACCAAGACCAACTGTTGCGGGCCACGCGCGGCGCTTGAAGAGGAGGACAGAGAAGACGATACCGAACGACAGACCAAGACCAGAGCGGATGAGCATCGAGGAGAGGCAGCGGTCCCACTGAGAGGGTTCGTTAGCTCTCGTTCGTACAGCATGTGATGGCTTATCACGTGAGGCTGCTCCAGCTGCAATGGAGGCTGTAGAAGCTGTGTTGCAGCCCCACGAGCCCCCATTGCGTATCGTGCACGCTCCACGGCAGAGGACGAGGCGCGACTAGACCGGTGTATGTACCTTTTCATTGAGGAGAGCTTCGCTCATGGGGCGGGTAGTGCGCGGGATGGGCGCAATAGGCTGGGAGGGAGCGTCGGACATGGCTGCGGCGTGAGCGGGTGCAATTGGTCGTCTCGGGATGTCTGTCGACGGCGATGTGGGTGGTGATGCGCGGACTGGCGGTGGTGCTGGTGCTGGTGCAGCTCATCGGAGTTTGACGTCGGCCGCCGAGCTTGGCAATGGCAGCTGCAGGCCGCGGGATGGACCCACAAAAAGTTTATGATGGCAGAAGTGATGCACCGCCTTTCTCCCGACCAACACAGCGAGGTCTAGGGCAAGGATGGCGCCCCAAAGAACAGTACGATACACAGAGAACCCATACTCGAGGGACCGCCTACTGAAATTTCAACAGACCCCCGAGAACGGGCCTGCGCCAAGCCGTCCGCGCCTGCAAGCCATCAACCAGAATTTCTCAGACGTGGACGAACAAGTCGAACAAGCCGCGCATATTATTGGCCTCCCGGACGACTGGGCGACTACAACGGGCGACGAGCGAGACAGAATCGCACAATCAGTGGTCCGAGCAAGGGCAGAGTGGGTTTTGCGCTGGACACTGGACAAGCTGAAGGATGAGACGGCAGCTGGGAGGACGGCACGAGGCACCTTTGCCCTCTGGACGCTGTTGGACTGGATGCTGGACGTCTTACCCGCATCACGCAGCGCGCCCCACCTACGAGACGCTGCATTCCCCCCCATTCTCGAGCGGACTCTGATCGAGCACTTCGACCAGCTTGATCCTATACCCACGTCCGAGGACCTCGAGACGAGCGACATTTCCGTATCGAGCGAGACAATCGGCGAAAGCGCCAAGCCATCCAAGAAGCGAAAGCGTGGAGCAGCTGGCGCGAATGGCTCCGTTGGACAGACTATTCTTGGACCCTCGGAGCTCCAGAAGCTGTTCCTCTCGATTAGGACAGTGGTCAGGTCGATCACCGGTTTGAGCATCCCACGAGGCCAGGGCGAGGATGCGGTCCAGGCTGAGCTCATGAAGGTCGTGCTGAGGACTGAGAGTGCGCAAGCGGGTAGCATCGCGAAGAACTGGCTTGTTGCTGTTGAGAAGCTCCTTGGCTTGGCTCCGTCTACCCCCGGCAGCCAGCACCTTGCTGAGATTATGGATCTGTCGTTGGTAGTAGACATCTGGGAGCTGCGCACTGTTGCTGCAAGCGACGAGTCTGGTTCTTCTGCTGACGAGTTCTCCGCAGAGTGTCTCGTTCCAGCTCTGACGCTCCTCAACACGCTCAAAGCACTGCGCTCAGTACACCCGGATCAGTCCGTAGCCTCGTCCACTGATCGCGCAACACAAACCATTGAGAGGCTTCTGGCGAGGCATCTGTTCGCACCAGCCAGAGCTGCCTTCCTTGCGGATGCAGACAAGGCCACCGAGAGCACCAGCAAATATCGAGAGGCGACGTTGCTTGCCAGCAGTCTGGCACCACTACGTGCAAGGCTTCTGCAGGCAGCTCAGATCGAGGACGACGGAGAGTCGGTGCCGGCTGACCTAGCTGCGCTGTCTGGCGCATCACCACAGCTTCTGAGCTTAGCCATTCGTATTTCGCCATCCAAGACACCAAGGAGCAAAGTTGCCGAGAAGCCATGGATCGAAGCCGTCTTCGTAGCGCTGGCAGAATGTGCGGGCTGCGCTGTGACGACACCACCTGCCTTTGTGACGCCAAAGACCGCGATCGAGGTGCTCGTCCACGCGATCAGTATCCTTCAAGCGCACAGTGTAAGTATCAAGTCAGACATCTTGAAGGATCTGTTCTGGTACCACTCGGGTATCAAATACCCTATCGGTAAAGACAAGCAAGTACATTGGTCGCTTATGGCTGCCTTGATTGAGCTTGACTCGAGTGTCTTCGTAACAGAGCCAAAGGGTCTCACAGGGCCCTCAAAAGCTCAACAGACCGATCTCGCACAGGTCGTCTTCGATGAGATTTCAAAGGCTCAGTTCGAAGGACCTGGTTTTGCTCAAGAGCTTGATCAGAAATCAAGCAGCAAACGAGGCCCAAAAAGCCAGAATCAGCCTCAGATCAGTAGGGTCACGGTATTGGAACGCATCGTTGTTCCCCTGATGTCTGGGTTCGCCACAAACCGCAATTTGCTCGGTTTCATCCGCCGCTGGGATGACCAGCTAGCCAACGCCTATAGACACGAGAACCGAAAGGCCCTCAAGGATTGCAGAGACATGATCTGGGAAGACCGCGTAATTAGCCAGGCTCTTGCTCAGCGCTTTGAACAGTCATTGACCCAAGGGCAAATCGCGAACCTGCTACAAGAGCATGTCCAGCGCATGGATAACCTCGGCAGCGCCTTGACCGCCGAGGCAAAGCAAGACGTCAACGTCAAGAAGCTCGCTGCTTACAAGAAAGCTGCGAGCACTGCAGTAATCGTACCGGCTGTTCTTCAGTCGATCGAGTCCGACGAGATCATCGAAGCCGTCAAGCCCCAATTGCGCTCGCTGCTTCAGTCATATTCGACTTGGGTTCAAGATGACCGCTACAGCACTCACACACGACTGCCGCTTTCATGGCTCGCCCTGTGTCAGCTGGTGTCAAAGCTCTGGCCGATTGAGTTGCACGGCTCGGTAGAGCAGCAGGAAGAGCTTCTGTCGCCATTGATCGAGCAATCTCTCAACGACGTGTCCGCAGCATCCGGCAAACGTGTCGACTCTCCCACGCGAGCAGCAGCTATGTTGTTCTTACTCGATGCTTGTGATTATCTGCAGACACTGCCAGGCTCTGAGGATCTCATCCGGCCCAGTTTGGACAAGATCCTTCAGATCCTCTCGAGCGGTGGACTCAACCAGACTGAGCACGTCAAGATGGTTGGGTTCTTTTGTGCCGACTTCATTCATCTTTTCGGGCACTTGGGCGCTGAAGTAGCTCAGCGGTCCCTGCAGCAGCTGCTGGCAGCCGTGTCAAGTTTGGACGATGATGCCAGCAACACTGCCATCCAGTCACTCTCTCAAGCCATCTTCGAACAGGGAAGCTCGTCGTTGCAAGACCTTTACGTCACAGCCCTGCGAGAGCTTCTCGAAAACGACAACACCCGTACGCAGCGTCTGGCAATCACATCTCTGTACTTTGTTCGGCCCTCTGCGATCTCGAGAGAGAGACGGGAGGCTGTACTAGATCAACTCACCAACTTGGTTGTACTCGGCTCACAAGATGTGGCAGGCGTGCTCAGCATCATGGTACAGCTCATGGAAGCATCCAATGCAACAGCCAAGATCTCCAGCGATGGTGCTGTTCTCTTCGCGATTGCGGAACAGCTGCAGAAGTCAGGTGTTTTGTCATCCACGACCCTTCACAGTCTTCAGCAACTCGTCCAGTTGGTTCTTGAGCAGATTGTTTCCAACCAAAGCCAGTCACAGAACATGATCTACTTGGGCAAGCTCAAGGGGAAGCTCGATTCGGTCACAGGTAAAGGCAAGCCGTGTTCTGCCGCCAATCTGGCTATCCTCCGTGCCGTCGTCGCGGTACAGAAGCAGAACACTTTGCTGCAACCCAAGCAGTATATGTCGGTGCTCAAAACATGTCTGACCAACGACTCCTCAAACGATAACGCCGCATCGCTTCAGGACGTCATTGACACGTTCAATGAGCTGCCCACCGCCGCACTTACGGAGGCCAAGCTGCTGGACTCTACTCAGGCCTATTTGCGTACCTGGATCAACGACAACGCAGACCTAGAGTCATACTTGGTCACTGGTGGTCAGGGTCCCCTCGAACTGGCTGAGTACGTTGCGCGCCTGCATACAACAGTCGCAAAGTACAAGCTCTACCCCAACGCTCAGTGGCTTGTCAACTTCACGCTCAAGTGTCTTCGCGAACCCGTTTCCGAACAGCGCAAGATCACCACCACGACCACAATGAGGGACGTCTTCGCCCACCTCCCAGTCTTCGAAAAACTAGACCTCGTCCACACACTCACCCAGCCGGCCGACCCCCTCGACCTCTCATCTTCATACCGTCTCCTCACAACCCTAATCTCGACCTTCGAAGACCGCTACGAATCCAACATCGAGCTGAAAAACAACCAACTCGCGCTCCTCCCCCGCCTGTGCTCGCTCCTGACCCACTCTCCGGACCACGCATCCTTCAACGCCCTGCTCTCCGGCATCAACACCCTCCTCTCCTCCACCCCCTCCCTCGCAACCCAGCACTCCATCGAAACCACCGTCTGCGCCCTGACAACGCTCGCCTCGCGCTCCAGCCCCGCGCTCCCCGCATCCAACGCGCCTGCTATCTACGCCCGGCTCTGCGAATCCACGCGCCTCATTCTGCTTCTGCACCGCGGCCGTTTGGGTGGACGGTTCCATATCCTGCTCCCGCTGCTGCAGAACCTGTTGTTCCTTTTGTTCACGCCGCACTCTGGGCGCGGCGCGCTGCCTGTTTGGCTGAAAGGTCCGGACGTTGTGGGTTTGACGGATGCGAATGGAGCGATGTTTGCGCGCGTGCTGGCTACGCTCTGTAATCCGCCACAGAGCAGCATTCAGAAGACGCATACAGGTGGCAAGACGAGCAAAACGCTCAACGACCCTGTCAAAGCGGCGAGGGAGAAGACGTCTGCTTTCCTCTACCCGCTGCTCGCGTCGTACTGTCGCTTCCAGCTCAGTGGGAGACTGGAACAGGGGGTGAGGGAGAAGGTCATGCCGAGCATTTGGGAAGTGGTTGGTACGGCGAGTCTTAGTAGGGATGGGTTGGATGCGATGTTTGCGGGGCTGGGGAGGAGTGAGAGGGATGTGTGGCGCGGTGTATGGGGTGAGTGGGAGAGTGTGCATGGCCGCAAGGATCTGCTATCTGGAGACGTTGTGTAAATGCTTCATCATAGATGACCGAGTCGCCGTAGTACCAGATCGACCCTCGACAATCTCGAAGAATTGAAACTTGTACCATTATCGTGGCGCGATCAGCAGAGCTCATCAGCCACACGTGTGTCGCTTGGACGTGAGCCCACGCGCAGTCCCCACGTCTCGTGCCCTGCATGCACCCAACCACGGAACACCTTATCTGGTTCCAGAGATTTGGTGCACGACGTCAATCACGACGTCAGTGCGGCACCCTGCAGCATACGTCGATTTCGAGATAAGGAACACCAACTCCAGAATGCCCATGTGAAAGTGGAGAAAGGGAGTGGTAGACGCGGAACCGATGTAGAGTGAATGTGAACACAATAGCGATTGGTATCTCATGATCTATCAAGCCAGCAATCTTCAACGACAACTTCGTAATATCTGCTGACCCGGCAGATATGTCGTGAACAGAACACAATTCGGGGCCATGACTTTCCAACAGGCGGGCCAACCGTGCCTAAAACTTTCCATAAGCCTCAGCTTCAGCCTCCCCAATCTTCGCAGCAGCCGCTTTCCCGCCATGCATCGCCTCCTCATCATACTTGTCGCCCTCGGAATCACTATACGCAACACTAATATCCGTAATTTCATCTCCCACCTCGCACCACACATCACTCGTCGCCGGAATCGGGCTTATCTTGCACAGTCCCCAGTACACAATACTCGCAACCAGGAAGCCGGCGAAGAAATTGAGGTCGTAGATGCGTTTTGCGCCAATGGGAACGTCGCGACCGATTGCGCCCGCGAAGCCGACGACGTTGATCAGGATACCGGCGATGTAGGCGGCGTACCCGCGCCAGTGGAAACCGAGTGTGTAGTAATACGGTCCGGTCTTCTTGCCGGAGTACAAGTCCTTGATTTGCAAGTAGCCTTTGCGGACGATGTAGTAGTCGCAGATCATGACGCCCGCGATGGAGGACAGGAATACGGAGTACGCGCTGAGGTAGGTCGTGAAGCTGTTGGTCGAGGAGAGCAGGTTCCATGGACACATGACCAGCCCGATGAGCGCGCAGATGTACGACCCCCGGCGAATGTTGATCCAGCGAGGAAGCAAGGCGGTCATGTCTGTGCCGGCGGAGATGGAGTTTGCGGCGATGTTGGTCCCGAGTTGCGCGAGCGTGAAGGCTGCGGCGATGACGAAGACGCCAAAGCGTTGGCCTGAGCCGCCTTCTTTGAGGAAGGCTTCGAGCAGGTCGAGAGGGTTCCAGATTGGGTCGCCGCCGAAGATGACGGTGGAGGAGGACGATACGATGATGCCAATAAAGGACGTGACGGCGAAGCCGACGGGGATGGTGATTAGCTGAGGGAGGAAGGCGTCGGATGGTTTGCGGGCGAAACGGGCGAAGTCGGGGTCATTGACGATGAGGGTTGCGAAGTTGGCGATGGCGGACATGATACCACGGACCATGAGCCAGCCGAGTTCAGAGCCTGTAGCTTTGCCCGGCTGGTGCACGATAGGGCCAATGCCCTTAGCGCGAACGATTGCCCAGATGAAGAAGGCGATGCCAGCGGTGGGCACAACGTACGCCTTGACAGTGAACAGGTGGCGGATCTTGTGAACGGCAGGCCAGAGGAATGGGAGGGATCCAAGCCAGAAGAAGAAGAAAGAGACGAAGTGAACGGTGTTTGTGCCAGAGTTGGGAATGCTATTCGGGACGCCACCGGGGCCTTGTGTTTCTTCGTCACGCCAGTTGTTCCAGATAGATCGGATCATGAGGTAGACGCAGGTACCTCCAATCCAGCCTTGTACACCGTACCAAATACATGCCATAGCGGCGCGGTTGAAGACAGGCCATAGTGCTCCCCAGATGCCAAAAGAGGAACGGTTGACGACAGGAAACGAGATATGGTAGGTAGCACCAATACGACCAGTCATGCAAACGAAGCATGCAGCAATTGAGTAGCCGATCCAAACACAGAGCCAGGATTGCCACCATGATAGTCCGTCGGCGATATTGGAGCCTGAGATCATCCATGTGTTGATGTTGAAAGAGTCGGCGACCCAGAAACCAGCAAAGTTCCATGCGCCTGAAAGATGTCAGTACATGCCCAGTAGCAATCATTTCTTTTGATTCGTACCCCACTGACGACGCTCAGGCTCAACTGGTGCAAGATCGTGGTTGTAAAGCATGAGCTGCGCGGTGGTGAGGCCTGGCTCGCTCTCTACAGCGAATCTCCCCGCATAGTGAGCGGCCTTTGACTTTTTGGCTGTTGTTGTCGCCATTTTGGCAGGAATGTGTATTGTAGGTTCGTTATTCGAATGGAGGCAGACAAGGTTGTCGATCGTCTAAGTAAGTTTTGCTTCTGGAGGATTGCTAACACTGGCTCCAATGACGGTGAGCCTGAGGATATCGCGCTTAAGCTTCGAAAGGCTTCTCGTTGGTACGGAATAGAGTGGCTGATGTTCGGTGTAGCTGATGATTGGTGAATAGACACCAAGTTAAATGTATGGAGGTAGGCAACTAGCTCTGATTCGTGTCACTAGTAGTAAAGGTGAGGTTGAACTTGCGTTCGAGTGACCTCCTGATCTGGGTTGCATCATGGGGCATCACTTGATACTTATAACCTCAGCCGGAGACGTGGGCGCGCACCGGTAAGATCCACAGCGGGCTTGGGTCCATACGGGGCATACAGGGACGCAAAGGGTTACCGTTGAGTATGGTAGGCTCCTCTACCCCAGGCGCTGATAAGAGCGATAACTAGCGCCCGTGGGTGATCGCAGGTCGCAGGAACCTCGCTAACGCCACAATCGCCCACACACGGACGTTGCGATGGAATTACCATCGTCTTCATTCGACATTTTGGGCCAAATGCGCGTCGTCAGACGAGCACAATGCGGCCTGGAGCTGGGATAGTGGTTTTGGGTGGAGTGCAGCCGCGAATGACGCAGGTGCATCGTAACGGTATCACGTGCGCCAAGGCAGAAACACCAACTCTCACGAGCGTCTGTGATACCATCTCCTCGATAGGAAGCAACACGACAGTCGTTCCCGCCGAAATTTGACTCGATAAAAATACGTCATAAAGGATCCTAGTTCCGGAAATCCTTCTATCACACGCCAGAGCGCGCCAACAGCTGTAGTGTGGCCGCGAAGTCGCATCTTCAGTTGCGTAGGCTTTCGCTTCGTAGCAGGCTATGGTGGAAAAGGTTTGGCGCCACTCCATAGAAGATAAAGACAATGTGGGGAAACTCTGCGGCGCCCGCGCCGACCAATCAGCTAATGCAGGACCCTCTTTACTCGATCTCATCGAGTAAATCCGTCGGCCTCATATATCAACGTCTACGGTCATCTCAGCGGATGCACGTCTGATGCTTGGGCATCATCTTCCGATTCTTCGGCAGACACAATGGCACCTGGCTGCGTAAACGTACGATATCTTTCTCCAGTTCGAGCCGGTCAGCCCGCTGCAATTCCTTCGACATCAGAATTTTCTTTACTCCGACATCGAAATTCGCATATTCTTTGGGTGAAAAGCATAGTTTCATGACAGCGACTACGTTCCCCAGAGCCAAGATTAAACAACAGGAGATCTACGAACGCAATGTCGAACGGCTGCGCTCAGGATCTTCTTCGGTGTATCTTGTGCAGCATCTCACTGCAGCTTGATAAGGACACGACAATTGAAGATCAGAGGTGCAAGAAGGATCGTATACCGTATGGCCCAGAAGTCTCAGCATAGTGCATGTGTGCTTCTTCCTGCAAAGCAGAGGGGATTCTGGACCACTGTCTTAGCGCAATCAGAGGGCTGCTCCTCCTTTCATGCGCTTGCCTCAGTGGCACCGCGTGGTGAAAACTCATGCTAATCTGCCGAATTTACTTGCTGAAGTGCTCTGGAAGCTCTTGCGGGATCTTGGGTTCTCGAAGTTCCGGATAAGAAGTCTCCACAGGCGGTCTGGGAAGGCTCGGTTTCGGCTGATCTCACTGAACAGCATCGCCACACAGTGATCTGGGCGATACTGATCGAACCTGCAATTTCTTCCTATCGAGGTATGCGCTGTTTGCCACGATTACCTGCGTTGGAAAGCTAGTGAAGTTGGGGGCTCTCCTTTACTCAAGTGCTTCGTTGCCTTTTGAGCACAGCAGCAGTATCAGGCCGTGCAGGACTCACTCCATCCCAGTAGGCACAGGCTTGTGGACTCTTGCCGTGTCACTGCAAGGCCACCGATCTTTGATCATGCACTCGCCATCACGACGAAAATGGCATGAAAGCACATCAATGCTATACTGATTAAAGCTGCTTTTAGTGACTGGTGGACTCAGCCATCAATGGGCAAACTCGATGTTCCAGCTCAACGACACATCACGCTTGCATACAGGGATGACTCCCTCGAAATTTCATCTGGGCTACACCGTTCAGGCACGCGTTGTTCCCATACAACAACACCTTAGCGTCTCTCACATAAGCCGAAGGCTCCCCTCAACAGCACCACGACCACACCTACGCACGCCTTCGCTCGAAACCTCACAGACACATCATAGTAAGTGCTGAAGATGAACAGAAACATATGCCCTCGCGATCGCGACCAGCAGCCATATGGGTCGCAACGTCTACGTCGCCCTTATCTCTGCAACAGCACCATCGAGCAGTATCGATCCTGTATTGCCACCTACGATCCAAGTCTCGATCTCATTCTACCGCCAACAAATGGTCAGCTATGCCAACTTACCTTTCTAACACTGATCTCGACATACTGCGTCTATTTGATATCCGGTTTGCGATATAGCAATCAAGCCAGAGTACATCACGTCGATCCTGTGTTCTTTTGATATGTCCTAGCGTAGGTAAGTTCTACAAGCCGCACTAGATGGAAAGTCACGTAAGAAGCTCACTCTACCTAAGGACCTTCCTGTTGGTCTCGTTTAAGTTACAAAAAGCTCTTACGATCCACAAGTACCCACCAGTATGATCTTGTGTCTCAATCGAGCTCTCGACCAACAAATCCGGCGCGCTTCACTCTTCTCCTTGAATGGCTTCGTCGATGTGACGGAACTCACAGGTGCACTACTTACAGTGTCAGAACAGGAGCATATGTTTCTACCAGGCTTCTCTTCGCCGAAAACACGAGTAATCCAGACCTCTTACAGCTCAGGCGTTCTGTAGACTGACATCGAGCAACGTACGTCGCTTTACCTCATCGATGGGGGCACATCGAATGACGATGAGAAAAGAACATTCTGTACAACATTGCTCGGCGGTTGAATGGCTTTCGTATCACTGATCTGTCGAATACTTTTCGGGATGCTAATACTGTAGCAAGGGAACTTGGTGTGTCGTATCTCTGGATTGACTGCATCTGTATCATTCAGAAAGGAGACAATTCGAAAGATTGGGATACCGAATCGAAGCGCATAGAGAATGTCTACTCATCGGCATACTGCACGATCACTACCACTTCCGCCAAAGATATGAAAGACGGATTTCTTGACCGTCCTGGTCCTACAGAACATCTCCACATTCAGGATAGTTCTGGTCGGAAGTTCTATACCTCTGCCGGCATGGATGACTTCGATGTTGATGTTGACAAGGCCGGCCTCAACACGCGTGCATGGGTCTTACAGGAGAGAATACTGTCCCGCCGAACGATCCATTTCACTGCCAATCAGATTATCGGGAATCCAGCGAAGAAGTTTGCTGCGAGAATTTGATGACAATGTAAGAGCCATAACCCCTCAATGAGTGAAAAATTGCCCTCAATGTCAGCTCTCAGCGCGTGAATTTCTTCACACGCAATTCAGATTTTCCCAAACGGCTCCTAATGTCACAGTACAAAGTTTTTGTAGACTTCATCCACGATCTTTTTGAAGACTACTCCAAGCGTCATCTGTCGAATAGCACCGATAGAGTGGTCGCGATCTCCGGGCTGCAGACACGCATTGCGAGCGCTGTGAAGCAACAGTGCAATTATGGCGTCTTTTCCCCGAGTGTCCACTGAGATCTCCTTTGGCACACGGTCGACGGTGAGATAAGGCCGATCGAATACTCTTAGCACAAAGTGCCATCATAGTCATCGATGACATATACTGAGGCGTCAAGTTTATGGAAGTACCGTTCGGCGCTATCGCGCTGAATAAGAGGGTCAAACTCGCTGATGAGGCAATACTCATAGACGTTGGGAAGTTTCACAACTGTATGACAAAGCTCGATGGCAGACGGCGCAACATCCTGGACTTCGAGGGAGTAGAGAGAGGGTGGATAGAATATGATGTTAGGGATATTGAACATCTTTCCCTGTTGCAATGTACTGTCGCGGGAATATGTTCAGAACCTGGACATTACTGGAGTGTTAACCAGACCTTGATTTTGGCTGTGAAGCTGACAAAAACGAATGGCGAGTATGAACGGGTGGGCTCTGGCATCATTCATAGGAAGTACATAAAATGGGAGGCAGACATGTGAGACTTGTCTGAGCCTAGAAGATAGCAATAACACCAGGTGGACTTCCAATGCCACCTTTTACATGCAATGGCGCGCTCGTAAGGAAGAATGCTGTAAGGGTCAGGTCAGTATCGCTCGCGTCAATGCAGTCATCAGAATTCAGCACTTACTGTACCGCTTCATGCTCTTGCACTTCTCACTAAGTTTCTGAAGATACCACATCTCGCCATTGGCATTCCATAATGCACGAGTATCAATTCGTGAAGACATCAGCTATCCGTGAACTTCGGCGGCCACGTCTCGAAAGCAACAGTGTCGCCAACAAGAGCTGACAGGTGCTTGTTGTAAAACTACCTTACCGTGTTTTCGTTTACCTGGACACCGATAGCGACGCTGTTATCGCGGGTACAGGATTTGCGTTCTGCTTCGTTTGCGTTGTTGTGCCAGCGAACGTATCTGCTCCAGATCATGAGGATATCTCCCTGCTTCAACGTCGTCCCCTGCTACTTCAACGTCTCTTCGATCTCCATAATCGGAATCTCATGCCTCGACAATGCCAACCGCGCCTTTCCAATCTTATCCTCGTACCTGCAATGGTTAATCAAAGTTCCGGAGAGACGACAAATACATACCATGCCACCTAGTCACACAGCACACCTCCCCCCACAATACCACCCCTCTCACACCAGCTGTGCGTGCCGTTCCTGTCGGAGTGCGTCGCCTCCGTATGCACGAGACCGTTGTAGTACGTGCCGCTGGGCTGATGTGCGAAGTGCTACAGACTGTCCCAAGATGGTTTGGGTGTCTGACTCGTGAGGTTGTGGATGGATGGTTGTCGTCAGTTGGTCTGAAGGTTGGCTCCACGCATGCGACAGCCTTACCGAATAGATACAACCTCGTTCACCGAAAGAGTCAATGCCCCACGCGAGCTGCCAAAAGAACTAGTCAGAACTTGACGACTGGAGAAGGCAAGTTCGATGTTGATGGTAGCTGCTGTACTTTTTGTATTCCTGGAAGGAAGAAGCAGGCCAACAAGGTGCTCTATTGCACAAGACTAGTTCAGAGACATATAACGAAGCTAACCATAATCTCTTCTATTTGTGACCTCACTGTTGACCTTCGATGTACAGTTCGTACTCGTAGCTAGAAAAGAGGAAAGGGGCAACTCCCTTCAGATCGTTCTCGAATAATGGCATGCTTGCGTAATACTGGGATCGTTAGCAAAGCTCGTCTTATGTCTCGTTCGTGACTGGCCTCAAAGGTACCGTTCGAGCTTAGACTGCCGGTCTGAACAGTCCATTCCCACACCAATGCGCCATCGGCCTTGCGCTTCTCAGCAAAGGTCTCCGTCATGAGCTCATATCCGCTGAGTGCAGTATCAAGATACTTCTTGTCCTCGAGGTATCCAAGACGTACTCCCTTGAGCAGACCGTACACAAACATGGCAGATCCAGAGCTCTCAATGTAGTTGCCAGAGCGGCCCTCAAGCCCAGGGTCCATGATGTTATACCATCCCTTATAGTTCGGATCTTGAGCGGCGACAATCGCATCGGCCACAGACCGGAGGTACTTGATAAGTCGCGCACGACCCTCGTGCTTCTCGGGGAAATAATCTAGAGTGTCGACAAGCGCCATGATATACCATCCCACTGCACGACCCCAGACATGTGGTGCAGCACCAGTCTCAGGATCAGCCCATATGGACTTCTTGCTGACATCAAAGCCATGGACCGGTAGACCATTGGTGCGTTCGCGGTCGACTGTGGTACCAGCATCGATGAGGTCAAACTGCAAAGCGATGTCGTCCCAGGCTGTCGTGTTGTCTGGTTGAAATTCGTACGTCCAGCGTGCGTAGAACACATCGAGCATGTAGATGCCGTCAAGCCACATCTGATCAATGTATACAGGATAGCGGTGATAGAAGCCGCCATCTGGTGTGCGGAACGAGCGATCAATCTGGTCTTTGAGGCTGTCTGCTGCGACCTTGTATATCTCTTCCCCACCGGTAAGATTGTAAATGTCCAAGAACGTGTGCCCGAAACGAATATCGTCAATGGAGTTACTGTTGTTGTGGAGCAGGATCTCGCCGTTCCATGCTGGGTACAGTACCGTGTCTGCATGGCGTTTGACATAGTCGCGGTACTTGTCATCGCCTGTTCTGTCGTATGCAAGGAGAATACCGGAGAGGTAGGCGGACACTGTGTAGGCGAATGTTGGCTCCACGCCATGCTTGATCTGAGAGTCGGCCATCCAGATCAGATACCGTGGCTTGCTATTGAACTTGCCAGGCTCGATCTTCTTTTCAGGTGGAATCTTGAACCAGCCATTAGGCAAGGCGATCCTGGCTGATGCTACAGCGGCGCTGGCGAGTGCTATACTGCTGACGAAAAAACTCTTCATGCTGAAGGTGAAGAACACTGTTATGGCACAAAGATGAAGACAAGCAGGAACCCACAAACAAGTCACTGATCTTATATACTTGCCTTGACTTCACTCTCGGACGGAGTACTGCAGTTGTTCTGCACTACGACGCATCTTGCTGTCGCTCATCATGCTGGCCAAGCTCATCTCCAGGATGCCCGAGGACTTTGCAAATACCTCAACTTCTTGGAAGTTCAAAAGAGGAAAGACTATCGTGATGCTGATCTACATTATTGAACCCTCTCATTGGACGCCGTTGAGCTAGCCCCGGAGATTTATTACCCAAGTATACATGTCCGTGTCGATTTCCTCTGCTATGCACTGGAGCAGCCTGGAGTACTTTTCCGTGCGTACATCTCCGGATCTGCACGTTGAATATGCTAGGGGCGCATTGGATGGAAGAACTCCATGAAGTTGCGGGGTGACCTTGGCGATTGTGGAGGCACAAGAAGCTGAAGGTGATCGTCACCCTGCGAGTATCTTGTTACCACTCAAGGTTGAGCGAGATTTGAAGAATTCTCAGTTGTTCGATTTGCTGCGCCCTCTCGCCCACGAAGAGCAGATAGGCGCGGGATCGAGCAGATCCTCGAAAGATCTCATATCAATAATGCTGGGTTTTTTTCTGTGCTCATTATCAAGACTGTGCTCAACAAGTTTAAGCGTTATATCTCTGCGTAAGTGCGTAAGTTCATGACAAACTTCCTGAACGGGTCGTTTCGTAGACGATCGGCTAGGTAAAATGTGGTGCAGGTGAAACGAGTGAGTCCAACGCGTCCAACGCGTACACCGCGTTTGTGCGTGATTCGATTTGTTCGTCAGTGCCATCGCAACAACAGATCCCCACTGACTCGGTAACCGCTCGACCCTTAGAAGAGCCGTCACGTCGACGCGTTCGACTTCTAAACACCGCGCATCATGGTGCTGTTGAGGTCGAATGTTTTGCAGTGTGGGCCTTACCTTCCGCTTGAGCCGGCGCACGCCAGCCAAGCGCAAGCGCAACCCCTCTCGTGATCTTTGGCGTCATCCCTTCCCCTCCATCCTCCAACCTAACATCATCCTTACCGTTCCACAATTCTACACCACAGCCACAGCCTGAGCCACGATCACCATGTCCAGTCTGGTTCCTGGAATCTCAAGACTCAATCCCTTCTCCGGATCCTCGAAAGTTGATGATGAAGATAAGGGCGAGGTAATCGATGCCAACACCGTTGCTGGCGGTGGCCATGCATCGCGAGAGTCACACATCACCAAAGACAAGCTGCGCGTCAGCAAAGCTTTACGAGAAGTCTTGTACAAAGAGAATGTGTTGTCGAAAGGGGAAGCTGGTGTTGACACAGAGCAACCTACCACCGCACTCCGGGAGTTACTCGACCGGAGCCACATCAAAGTTCCACCCGAAGTGATCGACCGCAATCATCCACTTCCGGAGTACTTCATCAGCTCAAGTCACAACACTTATCTTATGGCTCATCAGCTTTATGGATCATCTAACGCTTCGGCATATGAGACTGCTTTGTACACAGGTTCACGCTGCGTAGAGATTGACGCGTGGGATTCGGACGAAAACCCTGATGAACCAAAAGTCACGCATGGCTACACATTGGTGTCTAACATTCCCTTCCGTTCGGTGTGCGAGACCATCCGCGATGTGGTCGACAGTGAAGTTGCCAATGAGAAGAACGCCGCGCCCATCATGATCTCACTCGAAAATCATTGTGGTGCCCACGGTCAGATGAGACTTGCGTGGATCATGCAGGAAGTCTTCGGTCAGCGACTACTTAGCAAGGCTGTGCGCGAGAAAGGTCACCTCGAACAAGGAGGATTAGGCAACCATGTTATCTTGGCAGAGTTGAGGAACAAGATCGTTGTCATCGTGGAGTATCACCTGCCAGATGAAGAAGAGAGCAGTAGCGACAGCGACAGTTCTGAGGACGAGGAGGCGAAGAAAGCGCATCAGCAGTACAACCAGCAGAAGCAGGAGTGCCCCCAAGGCATTATCATCCCGGAACTGGCTGAGCTTGGTGTCTACGCACAGTCTGTTAAACCAGTCAACAACTCATGGTTCGAGGGCAATCTAGAGAACGCGCCGCACCACCAACTTGTCAACGTTTCGGAGTCAGGACTGAAGAAGCATCTTCTTGGAAACAGTTCAAAGATCGCTCGGCACAACGCTCACCATCTCATGCGTGTCTACCCCAAAGGAACTCGCATCTCCTCGAAGAACCTTTCACCAGTACCGTTCTGGGGGATTGGCGCTCAGATCTGTGCCCTGAACTGGCAGACCTTCGGTGCCAGTATGCAACTCAACGAAGCTCTCTTCGCCGGTTCCGGGGGTTACGTTTTGAAACCTGCAGCTTTGCGCGCAGGCGGCAATGGCAACATCCTGACAGGCCGACGGAAGAGACTTTATCTACACGTCGCTGGCGCTACTGATGTGCCCCTTCCTGCCGACCGCGAACACGGCGACATCAAGCCTTACCTGACCTGCACACTCGTGCATCCCAATGACCTGAACAATATGCCACCTAAGCGCAAGACTGCAGGCTACAAGCCCTCCAAGATGGCGACCTTCATGCACAAGGAGACCTCTCCCGCCAACGACCCCGTCTGGAACGAAGTGCTCGACTGGGAGTACGAGGATAGCGAGATGGTGTTCCTACGTCTGCTGATCAAGAGCGACGATAGCTTTGCGCGCAATCCTATCTTTGCTGTTGCAGCTGTAAGACTGATGTACGCCGTACCTGGGTGGAGTTTCATCCGTATGCTCGACCTAGGAGGTCATGAAACGACTTGCACGTTGCTCCTGAAGTTCCAGTTCGAGGACATCTAGGGAAGCTCGAAGAGGATCAGGTACAAGGATCGCAGAAGGAACAAAGTTAAGTCTTGTAAGCTTGTTAAGCTGCACGAGAAAATACGCAGCGATGGAGGGTGTCTGTGATAGTGCGTACGTAGCTGCAATGTTGCGCTGTTGCAAGCACACATAATCAAAACCAGGGGGGCGGGGTGCGCTCATGGGTCTCGGAAAACACCGTCTCATTGCATACAGACGATTCAATGTCACCGATCCATTGATTGTTGTACCGGTAGGAACATGGGTGGTTTTCGCTGAAGTCGCTCTTCGTGATGGCGTCCGAGGCGCATTGGTAAGCGCCGTAAGCAGGAGTGGAACTCCGCCAGATTATTCGATACCCGCTGCATACTGCCAATATCGTACAATTGCACTTTGGACATCGGTAAATGTGCAGACATTAAAGCATAGAAGACAGGCTTGAAATGCTCCGAATATTCCGTGGACACAAGCATCATCACCATGTCTTACCCAAGAACTGCCCGCTCCTGGCGTCGCACTGCACTACCGTATCCCTTATCCATCGTTCCCTCCACTGAAACCCTTCCTGAGATTCTAGGACCTCACGATGTCGTTATCCGCATCCATGCCGTCTCTCTTAACTACCGCGACGTAGCTATGCTTCGCGAAGGTGGCTACCCTGTTCCAGTCGACGCTGGCGGTATCTGCGCGTCCGATGCTTCAGCAGAAGTAGTAGCACTAGGCCCTGAAGCGAGCAGATTCAAGATCGGTGATATTGTAGCGCCGACTATAGATCTGGAAGCCCTGACGGGCGAAGAGCGGGATATCGATTCGACTGCGCTGGGCGGCAATGGTCCGGGTGTCCTGACGGAGTATGCGGTGTTCGAGGATAAGTACTTGGTGAAGCTGCCGAGCCATCTGTCGTGGGAGGAGGTAGGTAGTGCTGTTGTGGTTGGACAAGAGTGCCGTTGAACATTGTGATAGGCATCCACGATCCCGATCGCGGGTATTACTGCTTGGGTTGCGTTGAACCGCCTACAAGGGCTGACGAAGGGCGCTACTGCTCTTTTGCAGGGTGAGTACAAGGTTCATCTGTGCGTCGCTCAAGCCGCTAACGTCAAGTAGGTACTGGAGGTGTCAGCATGTCCGCACTGCAGATTTGTCTCGCTGCAGGAATCCGCCCTATCATCACCTCGTCTTCTGATGTCAAGCTCGACAAGTTGAAGCAACTCGACTCGAGGATAGGGCTCATCAACTACAAGACACACCCTGATGTCGTCTCAGAGGTCCTTCGACTCACCGATGGCAAAGGTGTCGACTACGTCCTCAACAACATCGGTGTAGCATCCATTCCGGATGACCTCCAGATATTGCGGAAGAGGGGCGGTCGAGTCGCTCTCATAGGATTCCTGGAAGGATTCGAGGCCAACTGGTCACCGAGCCTGCTCATAACGCTAATGGCAAAGGAAGCTCACATCGTGTAAGTAGACTTCGAAGATGCTGTACGAGGCTGAACGCAAGCTTTAGGGGACTTCTGGGCGGTTCCAAGGCAGACTTTGAGGCTCTAAATGTGTTCTTTGCTGAGAAAGAAGTTCACCTAGATCCGCTCATTGATCGTACCTTCTCTTTCGATGATGCAGAGGCTGCTTTCGATTACCTGTCATCGGGCAAGCATGTTGGTAAAGTGGTCATCAAACTATGAGGTACGAAATTAAGCACATTCGGACAGGCGGGTCCATGTAGACAGATATAGAACGTTTCTTGGCGTTGCAGATGGTATTATGAAGATGAGTTGTACGCGATCGGATTTTGATGGTGTTGTGGTGTACAGACCGTAATTGCTGCCAGGTGCTTGAAGGAAGAGACATATTGCTTACTAAGCGCACACTGGCCATTTTTGCCTCCCGATCATTTCGCATCTTTCTTCACGTCACCATCAACGGCCACAACATCTAGACAGCCCTGTTGCGGACTACTTCTTAGCAACTTTGGTGATTGATGAGACTACAGAATTTTTTTGACGGATCGGTAGCGTGGCGCAGTCTCATCAGAGCGACACCAAGAACGCGAGCGTGCCCTGGTGCACCAATCAAGCCCAAACTAGCGATGGACTTGTCTACGGAGCAGACCGAGCGCGTTCGTATGTCACTGCAAGCATACTGAACGAGTCTGGCTGACACCTTATGTAGAAAGGCTCCGTGCATCATGACACACACGCAACACCGCCAAATTTCATCCAGAAGGAGCACTGGCGGTACCAGAGCATGAGAAAAACCGAACTCGAAAGTGATGCCAACGTGTTCGATCTAAGTAAACGCGATGGATTTACTCCAGAGCAGAAGGACATCTGGCGTCCTGCCGGTACTATTCCCGCTTCACGCATCGAAGCGGCGTGCCAAGCTTATGCAGGTGGACGAGCATTGTCTTCGCCTGTAGAAGATGCTTCTATCTTCGAACATCGAGATTTCCCTGGACTCCAGGTCGTTTCCGGCCTTTTGCCTCCAGAAACTCAGGTCTTATTTACGTCTTGTCTTATGCATCGAGATCTAGCGGACCCAAGCCACAAGATCAACTTGCAAGCAGACTACGACATTCGATATCCACCCAAACCGACCTCAGAACCAATGCGATTCGACAATAGCTTCTTCTTGCGTGACAGATCTTCAGCAGAGGACGTCCTAGCGCCCAAAATCCCAAACAAACAAAAATCTCTCAACAATGAGCAGTTCTTATACACCAAGCTACGATGGCTTACACTTGGAGAACAGTACGATTGGCCAACAAGGAGCTATGCAAAGCATGCGACACCATTTCCGGGCGATCTTTCGACCCTCGTCACGGGTTTGTTTCCACATATTCGCCCTGAGTCTGGAGTAGTGCTTATGTATGGCGCGAAGGACTTCATGCCTGTCCATCGCGACGTGAGCGAGCAATGCCAACGCGCACTTGCAAGCTTTAGTGTTGGCTGCGACGGCATCTTCATCATGGCTAAAGGAGAAGATGATGGCGAAGGGGAGAATGCGCCGCGGACTGTCGCGATCAGGGTTCGGAGCGGTGACTGCGTACACCTCACTGGCAGTGCTAGATGGGCTTGGCATGCGATGGCCAGGACCTTGCCGAGTACCTGCCCCCCGTACTTGGCCAACTGGCCATTGGGTACTCCTGGTGCGACTTCGGCAGAAGAGAAAGCTTTCAAGAAATGGAGAGGTTACATGGGCACGAAACGCATCAATGTCAGCTGTCGTCAGGTTTGGGACTGAGCGCTTTCGAGCTTGCAGTCATGCGAGTTTACTCATTGCTTCAACTACGTACTTCACTGGACGAGTATGCGACCACGAACCTTGCGCCCTTGAAGATCGTTCCCTCCCTGACATAGTACACGACGGTCGATGTTGCGCTCTAGTCGGATCTAATCTCTTACTGCACGCCATACATATCACAAGGATTAGTTGAGACGAAAATCGATGCCAGATTGGCTGCGCATCTTACTGAAGTCGACCCAATCTTTTCTGTATACTTCCACGGCAAAGCGAAGCAGGCATCACTCATTACCCTTCGAATAATGCTGCACGAAGTCTGCGAAGTCAATCTCCTACAAGACATGCCTCGGTTGTATTGCCTTTACCTTGGCATATGCAGACGTTGTGCTCTTACAACTCGTATCAGAGATCAAAATGAGACGTGAATCTCTGCATAAGTATAGGTTTCCCGTCGATGTGAGCGAATCGTAAAGGTTCAGCAAGGAAAGCTGCCGATCTATGCCCAAACAAAGGGACCGGATCAATTTCGAGCATCTGCAGTTTGTTCGACGCAAGTTGAGCCACGTCACCTGTACGATCCCAAGCTTGCCGTACTCCTCGACTCCTCAAGTCGGCCCCACATATTATGGCGACAGTAACGGTTGCGACAGCAGACAATCGACGCAAAGCAATCAAGATCACCTCTCATAGATAATTCTCGGCAAATGCCTCTGGTATCTCATTGTCTTGGTGTTTTCCATTGCCTTTTTGTGCTCTTCCGATCAACCGTAAAAGTGATCAGCGGTGACTGGAACAGACAGCACTGCGCTTCTCTCGGACGCGGATCGAATTTGCAGATCTCTCGAGATGCGATAGCCTGGAAAGAATGAAGGCCCAAGCTTTGCTAGTCGTTCGTACTAGCATGAGCCAGCTCTACGGGAGTGCTGCAAGGACCAGGTGGGCGTGGGGTTGACTCCGCTCGCAACATCACTATAGTTCATTGTGGGGTAAAACGGTAGACAAGAGATTTTAACACCCACGCGTCCTTCAACATGTCATTTATGAGGTCATACACAGAGACTGTGTTTCCACATGAGCATTGCGACTTCATCACCACTGGCTCGAGCCGTTCTGGTCGTCCTGCAGAGTCGACCGTCCGCTCGCTCAACACAATCGTTGGTTCCGAAGCCACGGTTGTTCACAAGACTGACATGCCCCCTCTCAAGAGCTGCGCGCTGTGTGCGCGGCGGACGCCAGCCACTGCTAGAGCTAAAATCTCTCTCGCACGAGACTACCCGCTCCGTTGAGGTCAGTGAGGCCTCCAAGACGGTGACAATAAGCAACGAGCTGCCGACATATGCGAAGTGATAGTGGCGACCGTCGTGGCCAGCCGGTCAGAATTGCTGCAGTCAGCATCAACATGTCAACTGCAGGTACCGTCGACAGCATGTTTCAATGATCTACCGGGAATTGCTCTGCACCCTGCAGCCCTCCCAGCCTTGGCAGTTTCATCTTTTAGCCTTTTCATTGGAGAGAGGGCCATTGAGTTCGCGCTATAGGCGTTCCGGCCATGTTCTTTAGCCGTAGGGACCGCTGGTACCACCAAAACGTGGTGTTCAGCTTGCTTGCATTAGCGCATTCAAGGTACGTACGTTTTCCTTCTCGAGGATCAACTACCAACAATCTATTTCCGTAGCAAGATCAAGTTTTCGCTAAATCTTGGATAAAGTTCGACCATGGATCCATGTGTCACAGAACGCACAACTCGGCTCATACAGCTGCCGTCCGCCCCAGCACTCTTTGAGGATACGCGGGCACAATTGCCCCGTTGCGTACATTCTTTGGTACACTACGACGTGCGAACCGACCACCATCTTACCTGCGATCACGACCGTTCTTGAGGTCGGAGCAAGCTCCGAAGCAGCCTGGACTACGAAACTAGCCATGGCGCAAGTAGATGCTATCAACACGTGAGCCCACAAGCCTACCCTAAACCTTTTCGTCCAATGGACCCCTGCCCGATGCTGCAAGCCACTTCTAGACGTCAAACAGTGGTCTCATGTCGTTGTTATGTCTTGTTTGCGACTATCTACGACTTAGGTTCGGTCGGGAACTGTTCCTCAAGCTGGATTGGTATACTGTTGTACGCACAGTGCAATTGACTTTCGGCAGCTGGTGTGAGATGTCATTGTTGATACATCAAATTAGATCCAGAACTTCCATTGGCCTGGTCAGTGGGCATTTCCGGGAATCTCTTTCTTCTGGCATAGGGCATGCACTCGTCAAGTCAAGCGTCGGAGGTTTGCGCACTGGCAATGATCGCTCCCATACCATCAGTTCGCATATAAGGAACGACTCGTCGACCCTGGTCAATATCACCTGTGTTATACCCTTGAGTTGTGGTTTGCAATATCCTGAACAACAAGATGTTGGCACTTCGCCAGATACTACCAACCTGCTTGCTCATTGCAGCGACAACGGCATTGACTACCATCAAAACAAACACCCCAGTAATCTCAATGCTGGGCATGATTCCAGAGTGTTCAGTGAGTAATCTCTAGTCTTTATTAAAGTCACTTGGCTAATACATTTCAGGTATCATGTGTCATGGAGGACCTCTTCACCTCTGGCGGCTGCCCGATGACAACTGCTAAGGATCTTGCCGCATGTGCTTGCACAAACATCACAATGCAGGCAACACTCTCCACGTGTGTACAAGAATCCTGCGGCTTCCTCGACCAAAATCGTCAGTGAATATTTCTAACGGCTTACGACATCAACTGACCGCATTACAGAGGTGGTTGCCTTTGCTAGCGGCCTTTGCGAGGCGTATCCAAAAGATTCTCGTGTCAATGAATTGAAGACAGCTTCCATCGTTACTATTGTACTGACAACGATCTTTCTCTTCCTACGCCTCTACTCGAGATGGTTGAAGACACGACGACTCTGGTCTGATGATGCTTATGCTATCATCGCCGCGGTAAGTGAAAGGTCCATGTAACTCCCTAGCATAGCTGACAATGGACAGGTTCTTCTCATTATAGTGTCGATAATCATACTGGAGATGTCTCTCAAGGGCTTCGGCCTTCACTACTGGAACGTACCGACTCCAAGCGCCGTTGAACTCCAGAAGCTCTTCTATGTTTGTCAGATGCTCTATGTAGCAGTGCAGATCTTTTCAAAAGTTGCAATTCTTGCACTGTACTCTCGCTTGTTCCCGGACTTTATCGAATGGTTCAGGTGGAGCGTGCGCGGTATGATTGCCTTTATGGTATGTATAGCCCAGGAAAGCTATATTTGTGAGTAGGCTAAGAAGTAAATAGCTCATCCACGGTCTGGTGTTCTTCCTTCTTGTCGTCTTTCAGTGTTGGCCCATCAGATCTATCTGGGACAAGACGATCACAGACGCAAAGTGTCTTCCTATTTCTGCTGTCATTGGGTTCACCGGTGCAGGTCTTAGCATCATGGAGGACATCATCATCTTGCTTCTTCCCTTGCCTGTAGTATGGAAACTGCAGATGAGCACAAGGAAGAAGATTAGCGTCATCTTCCTGATCTGTGTGGGATCTTTGTGAGTATCTCTTCGCTCTGGATGTCGCTCATAGCATCTACTTACAGCTAATAGTGCTTCAATCACCAGCATTGTTCGCCTCAAGTTTGTCGTAAAATACTCGAATTCATTCGACTCAACTTGGGATAACGCCGATGTCATCAAGTGGTCTCTCATCGAGATCTTGTCTGCCTGCATCTGCGGTAACCTACTGCCACTTCGCCCACTCATTGAGCAGATCATGCCACCTTTCCGCTCGATCTACAGCTGGTACTCCGATAGCAGATCTTCCCGCAAGTCCTCTGAAAAAACTTCATTGGGTTTCCGCAGGTTTGGCCGTTCCGGCGGTTCTAGCAAGCCAAGGCTCATTTCTACACTTTACTTTACTCGGTTGAGGCTGAGCGCAACTCCTACGCCAGATTGGAACTGGAAGAACTTCACAAACTCGGACCAAAATACTATGGTATCGCCTCGCACTCCGACGCCTGCTCACTTCGAGAAGAACCTCGACAATGACAAGGAGGACTACGTACAGGATGTGCCGCATGGTATGACCAGGAAAACATCCACAACTGTCTTGAGATCGACGCAGTCCCGGTCGACAATGACGACATCTGTCACGGTTTAGACTACGTGAGGAGAAGCCGACTATATACTGGCCCTGGAAGTCGCTACCCCAGAACAGTATATACCAGGGTAATAGGGTCTCAACCGAGACCACAACATATTTAAACACACAGAATAGTGAAATACAACCTCAGTTCAATCCTGCAATTCTTCCCACATGCGTACGGATCACTCACAATCCACCGCGACAGTTATGAGCCCGGTTGCATCCTAGGATTGTTCTCACCCGTTACCGCGTCCACCACAACGCACCCGTTACCGCGTCCACCACAACGCACCCGTTACCGCGTCCACCACAACGCACCCGATACCGCGTCCACCCACAACGCATCTGTTACTGCGTTTACCCACGACGCATCCTGCCTGAATCCACTCATACACAACTACAGCCTCTGCAATGTCTACTGAGTCTGACCCCGCTGTCACACGAGTCACCATCATACTCGACAAGCCAGAAGATTGGTTCAATTGGTTATTCATCCGTCAAGACATTGCAGATCGCCACGATCTCTGGCAATACGTCAATCCTGACGTAGCAAAGGAGGATCTCCCTGAGTTGACGGAGTCCCCTAAGCCTCAACTTACTGACTACAAGGCGAGAGCTACAAAGCTCTCGGACCTGGACACTGACGATCGAGAGTCCTACCGTTGGGAATGTGATCAATGGCAGCGCTGTCGCTCTGAGTACTGTACCCAGAAGAAGGCTTTGGCTGATCTGAAGTCGGATATCAGCAAGACAATTGCTGTACGCCACATACACCTGATCAAGGATCTTAAGACACCATACGATCGACTGGTCGCTCTCAAGAAGTTCCTTTGTCCAACAGACGCAACTCGCCGCCGTGAGCTTGCGGATAAGTACAACGCACTCAAGACTGCCCCACGAGCTGCAAAGAAGGTCGAACAATGGTTGTCTGACTGGGTATACATAACAGCTCAAGGCAAGGCCGTCGGACTACCAGAGACTGAGAGCAATCGACCACAGGAAGATTTCCTGATTGCCTGCAAGGCACTCGATCAAGAGTACGCCACATCCTGCCTACGTGAGATCTTCAAGCATGAAGCACGAGGCACCACCACTGAGATCTCATCCCTGGAGACATACGTTGCTGAGATGACTACCTACCTACGCCGTACGAAGCCTCACTCTACTGGCCTAGCAGTCACTGCCGCGGAGCTTGGTGTTGCATCTCCAATTGAGCCTCAAACAACACGCAATCGAGGTCAACGTGACAGTGTACGACAGACACCTACCTGCGTCTGTGGGAAACAGCATTGGTACACTGACTGTTTTATCCTCAATACTCGCCACCCAGGGCGTCCAACGACATATCAGCCTGCTGCTGAAGAGGTACGCAAGGTTGAGGCAGCGTGGAAAGACCCTAAGATCAATGCACGAATCAAGACAGCTATTGACAGGTGGACAGCTCGTCAACCACAGAACGCTGGGACGTTACGAATTGACAACGGCAGGCCACCTGCTGACAGCAGCACGTTCGTGGTAACAACTGCTCCATCACTCATGGACCTTGACTCTCACAACGTCCAAAACAACGGCCACAACGGTCACGATGGCCACGACGACAGTGATGCTATTGCGATTGACGCTCGCACTGAGCCTCTGGGAGCTCTCACAACACTGGCTGTTGACGACACCGACCAGACTGAGCTGCTCAACCGATGGATCGTTGACCCAGGATCCAACACACATGTCATCAATACAGAAGCCTGGCACGGCTGGAAGAGGACAAACAACAATCCAGAACGTCGTTCTATCAACGCTGGCAATAGCCGTATTCTCATTACAGCATGGGGTACAATGGAGCTTGTCGCGCGCACACCATATGGTCTACAGACGCTCGAGCTGACACACATCACATACGTCGAAGGCTTTCTCACAAGCGTCCTAGGTCTTGCACGCTGTCGTACAGAGTCAATTCACTTTGACTCTGGCCGCGACGTCCTGTATATGCACAAGTCTTCAAACATTATCGCGCAACTCGATTACAATGGAGGACACTGGCTTATTGATGCAGAGCCATCACATCAACCACCTCTATCGCTACTCTACACGCAACTGAGCACCTTTGGGGTGTCGTATCGCCCGTCGTACATGCCAAAGCCTACCAATGTCATTGATCGACGTACTGCCCATCAGATTTGGGGTCACCCAGGTCGAAAGGCTGTCGACCAGCTTGAGCTTAACGTCACTGGCGTTCAATTGACTGGAAACCACACGGATTGTCTCTGTCAGACATGTGTTGAAGCTCGAATGACCCACATTATTTCAAGGCGCCCGGCTGAGAGCCGCGCGCAGCAACCATTCTATCGAATCGCGATAGACCTCATCTACATCGTCTCTGTGGGAGACGAGTGTATTGATGGCAGCAAGTACTGTCTACACTCAGTGGACGAATACTCGAAATGGCATGAAATTTCTACAACAAAGCGTAAGGATAAGGCAACACTCACACGTTGGTTTATGGCGTTAATCCGCCGAATACAGCGTGTATACAGTGCTGACGTTGTTGCTGTTCGATGCGATAATGAGAAAGGATTCGGCAACGACCTGATCAACATGACAGAAGAGCTGGGCATGCTGTACGAGCCGGCACCAGCAGGTACAAAGGAGCCGAACGGACTCATCGAACGTGCAGGCGGAGTGCTCACTCAGCGCGCTTGCGCCATGCGTATACACGCTAATTTGCCAAAGAAACTATCACACGAGATGTACTGCACTGCTGCATACATCCTCAATCGTACGCCTACAGAGACTCTGGGATGGAAGACACCGTACGAGGTTGTATGGGGACAAAAGCCACTCGTTGCTCATATGAGGCCTATCGGCTGCCGTGCCTATGTCTACAACCGCAATATCAGAGCTGCTGACAAGCTTCAATCACGCACTCTTATCGGCCACTTGGTGGGATATCAAGGTACCAATATCTTCCGCATCTGGCTGCCTACAAAGGACACTGTTGTAGTCACTCGCAACGTCGTATTCGAGCCTACACTCTTTTTCGAAGGGATGGACGGATACACCTCTCAATCAGTAATCGAAGAAGTGATTGAGCTACTCGAGTATCCTGAGATGTCTGAGGACGACGATATCAGCATTGAAGATCTATTGACAGCTCGTCAGCGCCGCACAACACCTATGACCTCAGCTCCGACAGCTGCAGGTTCCCAGGTGGGGGGTGAGATGGCTGACAACGCATCGGAATCAACTCAGCAACAGTTGCTAACCCCTGAGCCCTCTGAGACAGACTCAATTCCAATGGTACCTGAGGGCTATCGCCGACGAGGAGAGAGAGCTCCACAGGACGTTAACCTCAACCCAATGGACACTAGTCTGATTGTCACAGGCAAGCGCAATCGAAGACCAAAAGACCTGAACAACTTTGCTATACAGTCCTACGCTACGAGACTGGGACCTGAGCGTCTTGTCAACTATCTGCAAGCGTTCTCAACGGAGATTCATTCAATACCCACCGTGATACACGAGGTACCACGCATCCACCAATCGCAGCTGCCCCCTATACCAAAGACAGCAAAGCAGCTTGACAAGCACATGTTTGGCAATCAGTTCCGACGTGCTATGGACAATGAATGGCAAGGCCTACGCTCCAAAGGCGTCTTTGGGAAGACTGCAAAGACAAAGGCCACTGCAGACGGCGAGGTACTACCGTTGATGTGGGTCTTCAACTACAAAACAGACAGTGACGGATATCTCATACGATTCAAGGCTCGACTTGTCGTTAGGGGAGACCTTCAAGCTCCACTGGACGATACATACGCTGCTACGCTTGCAATTCGCAATTTCCGTGCACTCATTGCAATTGCCAACTACTTTGATTTGGAACTGAAGCAGTACGATGTCCCTACTGCCTTTCTGAACGCAAATATCAACCGAACACTGTACGTTGAAACCCCTGAGGCATTCCGTACCGAAGGTGAGATTATGCTGGTACTCCGCGCCCTGTATGGCCTGAAGGAGTCGCCAATTCTATGGTACAATGAGCTACGTCAAGAGCTCATCAGGCTAGGCTTGAAGCCAGTTGAAGGCTTTCCGTGCCTGTATACAAGCCGCTGGCTCATTCTATTTGTCTACGTCGACGATATTGCTATGGCATTCTACCGATCTAATGCCCGTCTCCACCAGTCCCTTGAGAAGGATTTGGTGAACCTGTACAACATCAAGGCTATGGGAGATCTTACCTGGTTTCTTGGTATCCGAATCGTCCGTGATCGAGCACTGCATAAGACCTGGCTAGTCCAAGACGCTTTCATCGACAAAGTGTGCTCTCGATACAGCATTGAGGCTGTAGGCAAGGCTCCAGACGTTCCACTGACAGAGAACTGGCTACCGCAGTCTACCGAGGAGCCTGACACTGCTCGAACAAAGCTGTATCAGCAGCTTGTTGGTTCTCTTGCTTATATTGCTGTCTGGGGTAGACCTGACGTCGCCCGTACACACGTTGTCTACGCCTGCCACCTCACCAATCCAGGACAGTCTCACATCTCCAAGATCCGACAGACCTGGCGCTACCTGCTCAGCACAAAGGCTCTTGCTCTCGAAGCCTCTGCCAGCGCGCAGGACATGGCTGAGTATCTATCTGACAATCCAACGTACCGCAACCCTCTCTTCTTTGGATCCTCTGACGCCTCGTACGCTGACGAGCCTGAGACACGCCAAAGCTCTCAGGGGTATGCATTCAAATTTGGTGGACTTATGATTGACTGGAAGTCAACAGTCCAACGCACAGTCACCAAATCTACTACAGAATCAGAACTGCTCTCACTGTCGCTCGCAGCATCACAGATGGAGGAATGGATACGATTCTTTGCTGGCATCAATCTCACGCTTGACTGCACGCCTACAATCTGGTGTGACAATCAACAGACTGTCGGTATTGTCACTAAGCAGCACGACAAGCTTCACACAAAGGTCAAACACGTCGATATCCACCAGCTCTGGATTCGACAGGAGGTCACCGCATCACGCATCAATGTTCAATGGGTCCCTACTGATCATATGCCTGCTGACGGACTCACAAAGATACTACCAAAGCAGAAGTTCACAGAGTTTGTCCGTCAACTCAGCCTTGTCGATATCACTGAGCGCCTGAATGGCCTGCGTCAGGTTGATGGCGACAACCTCAACACTAACTATATGCACTGAGCCAATACTGATCAGCTGTTGTCGACTCTCCACTTTGGAGTCTACACCAGCTGGGGGGTGTGTCACGGTTTAGACTACGTGAGGAGAAGCCGACTATATACTGGCCCTGGAAGTCGCTACCCCAGAACAGTATATACCAGGGTAATAGGGTCTCAACCGAGACCACAACATATTTAAACACACAGAATAGTGAAATACAACCTCAGTTCAATCCTGCAATTCTTCCCACATGCGTACGGATCACTCACAATCCACCGCGACAACATCTCATAAGACTATGACAGACAGTGTCGACAGGCCAAGCCGAGATGGAAGCGAGACGGATCTCATGCCGCCTACAAGGGAGCGTGAGCATCGCATCTCAGGGCCCTGGAGTCACGCGTTTGCTGTTCTTGACCAACCCTGACATTCCACGATGCACGCTCTTATGACATAACATACTTACGACCTCCTCACTTTACGACCAAGACATAATATAATGCTATCTTTGCTGAGTTGGCAACCTCACCTTCAATCTTACGTTCGGTTTATGACTATTCTATTCTCGGGTGAAAACCTCGCGGTAGCCAGCTCTGTTCAGTGACTTGATAAGCTGCCCTACAGCCTGCAACATTAGTCTACCTTTGTCTCCCTCGTGTGCCTTTCCACATTCACTATTTATGGTTAGTTCCAAAACGTCTTTGCGTAGCGACAGACGATAACTGCACACGCATCACTCGTCCTCATGTCTTTCACCTAAGAGTCAGCTTTACCCGCTCTCCGCTGGGGTATCATCTATACAGCTGCAATAAGCTCCTTATTCGTACAAGACCTCGTTCTTCCCGTCTAGACGTAAAGGCACAGCACATCATCACCGCGATCGGGTCCTCGAGCAAGACCAAAGGCCTCACTTTCGTAAAGGACCACCTCTCAGGCGTTGAACCTGCGCCCGAAGTCTACGCTGGGTATGATGCTGTGTACCAAAATGCATAGGTCGACATCGTATGCATTGGCCCGCCGCACGCATTTCACAACACTGCTTGAAAGCTATTCAATCAGGAAAGCACGTTCTGTGTGAGAAGTCGTTTACGCTGAATGTGCGGACTGCGAGGGTAGTCTTTCGAGCAGCACAAGAGAAGGGTGTGTTCGTCATAGAAGATATGTTGTTGCAGTTTTTCCTGCTGACTTTAGAGCTACAACGGGCTCTTACACGAAGCTATAATCATTGGGGATGTTCTGAGAGTGTTTGCAGATATTGACCGGATGCAAAATATCCAGACCAAGGATATGGATAGCCGCTTGAGAAACGTAGAGTTGGGTGCTGGAAGTTTGTTGGATATCGGGATAAACAGTGTTACTTGGAGGTTGCTCGCTCTCGAGGACCGCGTGATAAGGGAAGACACAAAGAAAGCGGGAGAACTACAGATTAAGGCTGCGCGAACGCTTCAAGAAGATATAGATGTTGCATCCACAGTTATCCTTTACCGTCCGTCAATAGGTCAGCAAGCCATCTGTACGTCGACAAGTAACTTCAAGAACTCTAGTAGAGAGTTCTGCCGTATTGAAGGAAGCGAAGGGCATATCGTTATCGAGGGCGAATACGCCTCTCGCCCAAGTGGTTTCGTCGTGTACAAGAAGGGTGAAAAGGAAGGAGAAAGACATGGTTTTCTTCTTCCCGGAGCCAGCCCCTTCTACGAAGCTGATGTGGAGGGTAGGAAGGAGAATCAGAATATGCCATGGAGGGAGGATAGTGAGAATTATGGAGATGATTGATAAAGTAAGAAGGCAGAGCGGTGCGAGATTTCCAGGGGATCTCTAGCTGCTTCCTAATCAACAACTCAACCCTGCCCGGAACTCACACTAGATTTGTTCTCTTCCTCCCTTTCAGCCTCACATCGGAACCCACCAGAAATTCGAATTTATACCTCACAACGTTCGGCCGATAGTTCTCACAGATACTCACATCATACTCTCTCAAGATAACCGCTAGCGCTGTCTTCACCTTAGCCGCCGCAAAGAATCGACCCGATCAGATGTGCTTCCCAAGTCTAAACACAAAGTGATCAAAGTTCGTCGATACCACCGATGCTTGGCAGAGCGCACGCTCGCAGCCACACAGCTCTCTCTACAGCCGCATTCCCAACCCCAGCAAACGTCTTCTGCCAACGTTATTTAACGATAACTCTTTCTGGTGCACGGTTCACTGATGTCCGCTAGAATGGGCCGTACACTGCTGACATGCCATTATCGTCAATGTAGATGTCCAGACGCTCTGGAGGAAGGGAGCAGCGGCCCATGAAAGCACTGCCCACCCTGTTGTTCTCGTATCGTTCTTCTTTCTTGATGATCAGAGTCGCGCCGTCTACAAAAGGATGTGAGAGGTGTCAATGTACGGAGTGCAAGGTGAAGACATACCAACGCAGTTCTTGATTCCATCTTCGGACAGATTTGGATGTTCCATGGTAGCCAGATGTCGCAAGCGCTCTGCCAGTGTGATGCTCGCTACGGGAGCAGGGCCTGTTGGGTCTCGGCACCATGATGCGACTACTGAGGCCTCATCCATACAAGTGCTGTGATCGTCTTATACCCTCGTTGTTTGCTGCAAACCTTCACACGGCGTACTGACAACCTCCTCGTATACCTCTCGTGACCGCAAGGACCGAGTTCAGCCCTACCCTCACCACCGTCCCTGCGCAAGCTTAACATCCCTGATCTGATCATACTGCCTCATCAACGCACTCACAAACCCCACTTCGAGCACCTTCATCCTCACCTCAGGGCTCATCTTATCCACGTCCCCCATCTGCCTCACGTCACCCCGAAAGAACGTTCTGACCGCACCTGCACCTGGCGCGTTGACCATCAATCCCATGTAGCAACTCGTTCCCTCATATCCAACACCGAGGAAGACATCTTCTGCGCTCGTCACGCCCCTTGGTCCAAGTTCGCCGATCCTTTTCATGCGGACCAGGGATCTAGCGATGTGCATGACAAGGAGTGCGATGTTGTCTGGATGCGCGTTCGAAAGTTTTTGTGCGACGATGTGGATGATGCGAGTTCGAATTGCTTGGTCATCGAAGCTGAACTGTTGAGTTGGACTGTAGGCATATGTAGCTCGCGGCGGTGGGAACATGGCGGTCAGAGGCGTGTAGGGGGTGTACGGTCGCGTTGGTGGGTTGGCGAGGACCGGCTGCTGTTGAGGCAATCCAGGGCGCTGACGAACAACACTACCGTCTGAAACCTGAGAGTTCTGGCCGGGCACCTGGGACGAACGCGATGGTCGATAATGGATAGGATGGTTGCTAGTTGCAAGATCTATGTTGGGTTGGGGCGTGGGTAAAGTAGGGAGGTTGTAGAACCGAAGAGGTGGAAGGTTATTTGGGGATTGAGACATGGCAGAACACTAGTATAGTAATGTGAGGTGAATGTGAGTGATGGCGAGATGCTTAGATTGGTCTGCACGCTGACTGCAATAATATTAGAGAGGTTTTTGGTGAAATGAGCAACATAAGGTGAAACCAGTATCCGTCGTCTGGAGCCCAGAGACTTGACGTCGCCATGAAGGACTTGAATATGAAATGGTTTGACAGTGACAAACGCAATCATGAAGGAAAGCCTTACTATCAAGCCTCAAAAATGCTACTGCCACCGCCTTCTGCATGACGGTCTTTGCCCCCCAGCTCGCCGTTCTCTTCCACCTGTTTCAACAGTTCGGTCTGGTACCTCGTACTGGTATCGAGGAGCGCTTCAATGAAGAGCACCGTAGCTTCGGCGCAGGTTTCTGCGCAACCACCTCGCAGGACAACTTGCCTGCCATTGTTTGTGGTTATGCCCACGAAAATCCTTTTGTCGATGGTTCCACGAGTGATGTTGAGCGAGTCCGTATTCAGTGACAAACCTGGTTCAGCAAGCCCATGTAGCGCCTTTGTCTGAGCATAGATTGACAGTACACCTGGGGAGGTAGTCAGTGATCCTTCCCTACATGTTAATCGCTCACCCTTACGACAGAGAAAGAGAAATTCGACGACGGAGCGTGCTATCATCTGGGTGTGGAGAAGGTCTCCAATGCGATGCCTGTGCTGTAAGTAGTCGAAGTTGACATGGCGGTCGATCCATTTGTTGAGTTTGGCAAGCTCTCTGTCATTCGGAGGTGCATGTGTCATTGGAAGGCTTATAGTTGTGAGGCGAAGGCAGATGGATAGGTACGAGAGGCGTCGTCCTGTGTATCGATCTTTCGTCTTAACATCATTAGCATAGAGAAGTAGGGCACCGCGCTGACTGATAGCGGAGCGCTTGCTCATATTCAAATGGCAAGCACAAATCCGATCCCAGTGGGCTGTGCAAACATATCGAACCATCTCGCACTGGTCCAGCACAGTCTGAAGAAGATCGCAGGCTCAGGCTGATCGACATGTTGGCGGCGAAAGACCATAGACCGTGTTTAGCGTATTCCTGGGTAGCTATATGTAGACGTCCAAAATCCATTGCTGCACGTTACCTGTAGTGGAAAACAGTTGATGATGAGGTTGAGCAGATGATCGAAAGACTAAACATCGCGCGAGTTGCAAGTTGAAATATCTCAGGATGTTGGCGTGGTGTTGAGGCTCGAGCAGTGACGCCTCGGAACGTGGGAAGGTAAGAAAATTGGGGCATGCAGGGTTCGGTTGGCGCGTGCTTGGCATCCCCGTCACCCGTCGCTCCTGAGACTCCCTGACAACCATCACTCTCCACATCGACAAATCAGACCCACGCACCCCACCGTGCCTGCCTTCGCTGCTGTTTGTTCCCTGCGCCTACCTTCACTACCAACACTCGCTCTCACCTTCACATTCGCTGCGACGAAGCGCCCCTTCACCTGTCGCACCTCTCGGCTCTCGCTGTTCCGTGCCGCAGTACACAGCCTCGCCGCACTGAACAACATCACACCCAAAGCGGCACCATACCTCCTATAACCCTCTACAATGGGTTTCGGCGACTTCACAACGATATGCGAAAAGGCTTCGATACCACTGTGCGCCCTTGTGGGCCACCAGGAAATCAATGGCGGCGCTGGCATACAAACAAAGTGCTATGCGCGAACGATTGAAATCGCGAATACTTTAATCTTCCAGGCGGCGAACGACTTCATGCACATTCTGGCCCTGATAATGACGGTGGTCATGATAATACATGTCCGTTCCAAGTTCACTGCTGTCGGTATGTTGCGCCACTGCAGCCGTTGCTGGTATAATAAGGAACAATACTAACAGGAATGTGCAGGTCGCAAAGAGATCACATCCTTCTTCTACATTTACTTCCTCCTCACCATCATCTCGCTCATTCTCGACGCCGGTGTCGCTGCGCCTGGTTCCGCCCCATACCCATACTTCGCCGCTGCTCAAAACGGTCTTGTCTCTGCGCTCTGCACCAGCTTGTTAATCAATGGTTTCGTGGGTTTTCAACTGTACGAGGATGGAACAACGCTTTCCGTCTGGCTGCTACGATTGACCTCACTCGGCATGTTCATCATCGGAGGCGCCATCTCCCTGCTCACTTTCAAGAACTGGGCTGGTCTGGATTCCAAGAACCCCATCGGTATCTTCGTTGTCACATACATTGTGAACGCCATCTTCCTATTCATCTACCTCGTCAGTCAGATCATCCTTGTTCTCGGCACACTCGAGGACCGTTGGCCAATGGGCGACATCGTTTTTGGCGTTTTCTTCTTCGTTATTGGGCAGGTCATCTTGTACGTCTTTGGCGACACCATCTGCGACGGTGTCCAGCACTACCTCGATGGCTTGTTCTTTGCGACTATCTGCAACTTGCTTGCAGTCATGATGGTCTACAAGGTTCGTGGTCCCCACACTACCCCAAGCGTTCGCCTCCCACTGACAGATCTAAAAATAGTACTGGGATTCAATCACTCGCGAAGACCTCGAGTTCTCAGTTGGTGTCAAGCAGCACAACTGGGAGGTCAAGGAACTCCTGCCGGAGGAAGACAAGCGCGGCACCGTCTACCAGGAGTCCGAGTACGCATCGTCGATGTACCAGCAACCGTACCCGCGACACTCGCAGTACTCCAACCTGGGTCACTAAGTGACTGTGGTCTTTTGTTTTCGCGTTCACTTCTAAAGCCCCCTTTTTCTTATAAACGACTTATCAGCATGACGTGGCGTTGGCGGCGTATTCGCACCTGAGTACTAGACTCGTAATTCGCAGTAAGAGGTGGTGTGGACAATGTTGTCTGATTAGCAAGCATTGAATGGTGAGGAGGAAACTGAAGCACACAACCTTCTTCACGACAGAACCTTGACGACTACCATAGCTTATATAGTGTAATATCCAATAGCCAACTGCGGCAACGCAGGCATTACCCGAGAGGAACCATTTCGCCTTGGATTGGACTTTAGCTTGCCTCTGACTGAAGAAGTGTGCAAACGAAACTATTTCATTAGGTGCAATAAGTGCTGTTGTGCAAGAGCCGCGACGTGTACTCGTAAGAATCTTGGCGTGGAATGGGTACTTCATGTGCCTCGAGACGGGGTCGTTCCTTCTCCTCGACAACACGCCTAAACACCTGAACCTCAACTGCCTAGACCACGCCTGTAGTCCACAGTCCCACTCCTCGATCTACTCTTTGGCAAAGAGCCGGATATCACAGGTACATATGTTCGTGTCTCGTGTCGAGCTTGCGAGATTCGCTGAATCGGACCCGGCGCCGGAGCGAGCTGCCCAAGCTCCCAAACCGAACACCCGTCATCAGCCACCGGGACTTCCACATCAGGCAATGCCGGCGCAAACACATAGCAACGCGCCCGCGATGTCAGCTTGACTTTGCCTGACGCAGCACTCCCCGAGCACGGTATACAACTCCTAGCTACGGTTTGCTTTTTGACGTCGTTACGGGATGCAAGACACGCATGTTTGAGCGATCCAGATATCCTTTGGGAGGACATGGCGCGTGGCTGATGGCGCGCCAGAGCTTAATGAGGGGTGACAAGCGGGGTCCGCGATCTGGGTAACCTGCGGGGGATGATATATAGATACGGCTATCCGGCCACGATTGCGAGGCCGGGTATTTCTTCGAACTTTCTTGGTCTTCTGGTACGTTGTGTCAGATCTGCTGCTGCACAGATCGAGTGATCGAGTGATCAAGTCTTGGTGAGTAGTAAAAGCTCTTCTATTCTTTGTTGTACCTGCAGGTAAACATCTCTGTGTATCTGACTGACCAGCGCCAGATACGCGACGCGACTTCACATCCTCTGTCTACAAAGCTATATCTCGCATTGGAGCAAGGTTGAAAGCGTTCCCATACAACCAATTCCCACAGATCCCCAGAAATTGCAACCATGTCGAGGAAACACTTCTTTCCCAACCCTGAGGGCGTGGTCGTCCACATGCTCAACTCCCTCGTCAAACGCAATTCCTTCATGGGCCTCGATGTATCGAACCGCGTCGTCTACAACACCGCACACCCTCCGGACCAAGTCACTATCATCTCGGGTGGTGGCTCCGGTCACGAGCCCGCGTGGTCTGGTTTTGTGGGTGACGGTATGCTGTCTGCGGCTGTCTGCGGTGATATCTTCGCATCGCCGAGTACGAAACAGATCATGGCTGGTATTAGGAATGTGCCCTCGAATGAAGGTGTCATTTTGTGTATCACAAACTATACTGGTGATATGCTGCACTTTGGCCTGGCGAGGGAGAAGGGTCAGGCGTTGGGGTACAAAGTTGATGTTATTTGCATGGCTGAGGATGCAGCTCTGGGACGAGAGAAGAGTGAAAAGGTTGGGAGAAGAGGGTTGGCGGGTAATTTGCTCGGTAAGTATCTGGTTGCACAACAAGGACTACATTGCTAACTGCCACAGTGATCAAATTGTCTGGAGCAGCGAGTCAAAAGGGATGGGCTTTCCAGCGAGTCCGCAAGATCGGTGAACTGGGCAACTCACAATTGGTGACCATTGGTACAAGTCTTGATCACTGCCACGTACCTGGTCGTGAAGCGTTCGAATCAGTGCCAGATGATGCTTGTGTGGTGGGTATGGGAATCCACAACGAGCCGGTAAGAGCGCATCTTCAACCAACTTGCCATGTTCCGTTACCTAATCGATTCAGGGCCTCCGAACAATATCCCCAATGCCCGCGCCCGAAGACATCATCAAAGAGATGCTGAAATACCTCCTCGATCCCAAAGACACCGACCGCGCATTCGTACCCTTCTCACCGTCCGACTCGATTGTCATGCTCGTCAACAATTTTGGTGGACTATCAAATCTCGAGTTCGATGCCATGGTCAACATCGCTCTGGAAATCCTCGAGTCAGACTACAACCTCAAGCCTGTGCGCATCTACGCCGGCGTCCTCGAGACATCACTCAATGGCCAAGGGTTCTCTATCACACTAGGCAACATGTCCGGCATGGCAAAGGGCATGGAACTGACCGACGAGGAAGTCATCGAACTCCTCGACGCACCCACCAACGCCCCTGCATGGCCCAAGAACGGCTACAGACCTTCAAACTACAACAAAGAGACAGAAGAGCTCCGCAACAAAGCTAACGCCGCACACGAGAGCCAGAGCGGCCGAGACAAAGGCCCCGCCATACCAGCCTCTCTCATCCCAGCGCTCAGAAAAGCATGCAACGACGCGCTCGCTGCCGAGCCCAAGATCACACAATACGATCTTCAAATGGGCGACGGCGACTGCGGCGAAGCCGTAGCCGGCGTATGCAAGAACATCCTTACGAACCTCGATTCCGTAGAGGCGAACCCACCAGCCATCCTTGCACTTCTCGAAAGCGTAGGCGAGAACGTCGAAGATGTCGGCGGCTCGCTCGGCGCCATCTTATCCATCCTTGTCACAGCATTCACCAATACGCTCTCCGCCTCTACACTGCAATCAAACGCACCGCTCTCCATCGACACCGTATCTCAGGCTGCGTCGCTGGCGCTCGAAAATCTTAAGAGCTACACTTCTGCCCGTGAAGGCGACAGGACGGTTATGGATGTGCTCATCCCATTCATTGATACGCTGGCTGAGACGAAGGATTTGGGCAAGAGTGTACAGGTTGCGCAGCAGAGGGCGCAGGAGACGGCGGAGATGAAGGCGAAGTTTGGGCGTGCGACGTATGTTGGTGATGGGATGGGGGAGGATCGGAGTAAGATCCCGGATCCGGGGGCGTATGCTGCGGGTGTTTGGTTGAAGGGGTTGGAGGAAGGGTTTAGGGGGGCGTAGGATGTGTTCTGGTCTGAAAGAAAAGAGTGGTGTATATATATCCGTGAGTTTATGAAGCGTCGTTCACGTTCGATAACGATGAGTTGCCCTTTGAAGTTAGTCGCTGTATGTTTCTCTATATGCGCTCGTAAAGACAATGTTGAAATCACACCATATTTGCAACACATATTTAGGACTCGTCGCAACAATGGTTTGTTGGTAGCGAACCCCAGGGGCTCTGCGGAAGCCCTCCCCATGAAGGGACTGGACTTTCGCGCGACGACATTCTACTATGGCAGTTTAGAAGAGTCGAGGATCAACAATATATATTATGCCTCTGAGGGGAGAACGGTGCAGAAGTGGGCCTCATAGGGTGTGAAGCGTGGGACGATGAGTTGTTCAAGTGCTTGAGGGAAAAGGCTGAGTTGTATGTTGAGTGGATGAGAGCGTTTTTGGATGAGTAAGGTAGTGATGGAATTACGATTCAGAGTGGGAAGGTACAGGGGTGTAGAGTTCATGGGATTGTGGACGAGGGTTACGAGGGTTGTAAAGTTTGGAATGATGCTTTGCTGTGGCATTCGAACGTATCGATGGCTGTTTGCTGCATGTTATGCTCGGATGCTGTGCAAAAATAGAGATTGTAACCCGAGTCGCGTGAGTGGTGGAAGCAATCACACTCGTCTTGAAACGAAGGAGCTGTCTGGGTGCGTTCCAATAACGATACTGAAACTCCCAGCAACAAGCATGCCCAAAACAACACTTGAGCCTCATACCAGGGGGCTAGCTATGAGAGAGGATCCACCACTGTCGGATTCCGGCCTTAGATGCTTCGTTGGTAAGTTTGCATGCCACTAACACCTCCATCTGCAAATCGTGCTGACGAGTTCCAGAAGATGCAGCGAGTTATCTTCGAAGCATCAGATTCGTGCCCGCAGACTGAACTGAGCATGCTAAGCGTCTGTATCTCGAGCCTCATAAGAATTCGCTGTGTTTGAGATTTCTGTGTCTTGAACACGAGGATGCGGAGCCGGCGGTGCTGTTGTATGGTGAGAGCTACTGTAGGACGAGGCTTGAGAGATTGCAAACCAAAGTGTTGATTGAGGTAGCGAAGTGCAGGGGATGATTGCCGGAAAGGGAGGAGAGGGTGTTGGATGCTGAGCAGATATCTGGAAGGCGCTGATGAAGGTGCGACCTTGATGCCGGACGCTGCTTGCCGCGGTGTGTCGAGTTCATTGTTGCTGTGATCATCTTGTGTTGTTCATTTAACAAGTAGTATTGAAGTGACATAACTACATTGGGCGCAGAATTAAGACTCAAAATAATGATCGATAAATGTCATGGTTTGGGATCTCTCCTGCACTAACGCCCTGTCGCACCTCACCTCATGGCGGGAGGTTGCTGCCTTTTCCCACTAGCGTTGTTTACAGCCAATCACCTACATATACTGTTTGTAGCTTCATACAATACAACTGCAGTACAATCCTCAACTTCTTCCCTTTGCATACAGCTCACTGAAATCCAACAGTTATGACCCTGGATGCAACCCAATTGTACTCACTATACAATACCTGATTTTACCTGATTCCTGTCGCTGTCTTGGAGTAACAATACTGGCCCTAGGAACTGTACTGTCACGGTTCAGGGCGCTCTTGCCTGTTGAACCTCACCTCCATGAGAGTGACTGCCACGTCACACTAGCGTTGTTTACAGCTACTCACCTATATGTACTGTCCGTAGCTTCACCCAATACAACCTCAGTTCAATCCTTCAATTCTTCCCATATGCGCACTGTCCACGCTTCCCAACATGTACTGTTACAATCCATGAACAACTCGCAAAACAACACTGAACAAACAGGACTACGCAACGAGACGAGAGCAGCCAAGGAACTGCAGTATCGATTGACCAAGCTGTGAAGCCGCGTCAGTGATACCCAGTATAATCAACACTCGCAATATCTGTTATACGAACCGAGATTGTACGAAAAGGACTGCAGTGGATACAATGTGGGTCTTGTACACAAACAATCATCACGGACCCATATACCGACCCACT